ACTTGTGAATTATACAGTGTAATGAGTATAAACATTTTCTTAATAAACTCAGAAACCTCTAGGTAGACCTTGAGTGCCCTATGCGCTACAGCCAGAAGGAAAACATATCCTTATTTTTAAGCACTTATTCACCTCTTTGCTAATATGAGTTCTTCAAGCTGGTGTAGAAAGCATGCATGTGGGAATCCATGGCTGTGCTAAGACCCTTTTATTTTCCTCTGCCATCTTCACAAACAAGTGGTCTAAAGCACTGGTCCAGAACACAGAATTTTATGTGGCTGTTGCCAATGATATTAACAGATTAAAATTCTGAGTAATATGATTTATTTCCCTGGCCAATAATGACAGAGAATGGTTTCAAAGGTGTAAGTCACTTATACACAGCGCTTAGGAATGGGAATGGCCTGCAGAATGTTGAGGTTCATGAAAGAAAATCTTGTCATGTATTTTGAAGGGCTACTGCTCTTTTTAAAATTATTTATTACATTTATTATTTAATTTGTTATTATTGTGTATGAGAGAGATGTGTGTGTTGGGGTGTGTGTGCCATAGCACATGTGTGGAGGTCAAGGAACAATTTTGTGGAGTTGCTTCTCTCCTTCTACTTTTATGTGGCATCTGGGAATCAAACTCAGGTCCTCAGGCTTGCATGACCTGCTGCACCATTTGTTTTCTTGAATCATGCTCTGGATCCCTGGCAGAGGGAGGAGTTCAGTTACGGTCATGCCTGCTCAATCAGTAGAAGCCATCTTGTTCAGGTAGTTCTGAGCAAACGCAGCAAAACTACTTGGAAAATATGATTTGCAAAGTCTCATACACACAAATCTTAGTACGAACTGCAGTGACGGATTCCAAAAGTAAATAGTATTTCTAGGAAGCAGAGGCTTTAGGAAACACAATTCACTTTGTGAAAACTTAATGGATGAAGAAGCTCATCAAATAGTGACTAAAAACTGTACAGTTCAATAATAGAATTCAAATGTCTATCACAAATTTTGTACTACTATTACAGAATCATCTCCATGATTGGCAAACACATTAAATATGACCCATTTCCTCTCAGAAACATCAATTTTATGGATCTTGATTAATGGAAAATGCTGCTGGGGGAACTGATGGACTCTATCAATTCAACATGTGTTTATGGAATAAATGACATAGGACTAATTCACAAGTCAACCATAATGTCTAAAAATAACAAAACACACAACAGATGAACCAAATTCAAGTCCTTCTTAAATGTAGTTCCCCACTGCCACCAAGGCCTACCTGAAGGGGCTATCAGAAAGAGGTTATTTTTCTTATCCCAAATCAAGGCAAGTGGAGGATTCAATGAGCTTCTAAAATTTTTTAGAAATCTTTTTTAAAAAGGAGTTTTTGCTCCTTGCCCTCCTAGGTCGACTAGTTCCAGGGGACTATGAGCATCTCTCAAAATGTCCTATAATGGTGGTGGGTCACCTGTCTTCTTGATCAAGGAGGCCAAGGAGACCCCACCAGATGGATTTGAACCAGTGTCCAGTCTATAAAGAGGAGGGTC